TCAATCTAATGAAATTTTTCCTTTTTCCTCTTTTTTTTTTCATTCATATTTCTTTCTTTTATTTATTTCTCTCAGCATGCATATATGTATATAACATAGACGTCATATAGTTCCCTCGTATAATCGAAATGGTGCATATACTTTTGCGTACAATAATAAAGAATTAATATAGCCAATACAATAGTTTTGGAATAATGATAATAGCAATAACAATAATAATATCGGACACTCCATCGACATAAATAAGTGCACGTAGAAAACGAGTAAAAAACGAAATAAAAAATACAACAATTAACAATTATCACCGTATTGGTTTTCTTTTCTCTCTTCTTTTTTTATTCCTTTACCCTTTTTTTTCTCAATTTTTTGTCTTCTCTTTCTTTCCATTATTCCTTTTTACTACTCCTACTTATTTTTTTCGCTCGTTTTCATTTCCTTGTTCGCGTTTTCGTTCGCATACAATTAAAAAGGAAATAAGGGTTACTGTACTGTTTCAAATTACATAATGCATTTATGTATGCACGCATGCGCGTATTGGTTAGTCATTTATCGGGTTGATTTTTGTGTTTAGTTGAAAAATTTCGTAAGGATTTCGATAGGATTTAGGTTCCCATTGTCAGACTCCTTAGGGCGTGAATGAGGTCAAAGGTGAAGGATACGAATTCGTGGATAGATCGGACCCAGGAAAAAATGGTAGAAGAGAAAAAATGAAGTATACTTTATGTCGTATAATAAAAGATAAAAAATTGTTTAAAACTATCTAAAAAAAAAGTACAATAAATAATCAATAACTAATCGGGACGAGCCCGTCCTTATAACCATTAGTCGCATTAAAATTGATAAAACAAGCAATAAACGATCAAGTTGAAATTTGCAATTGTTTAATTAGTAGGAACTTGACTTAATTGTTTTTGTCTTTTCTTTTTCTCTGTATTTATTTCACTGTCATTTAGACGCGGCTTTTTTCAAAAGGAAATAACAATTAGAAAAAAAAAAAAAAAATTCGATATGGCAATCGATAAAATCACGCGAAACGAGTAAAACTGAAGTATACTCTTTTAATAGTAAAATTCCAACGAACAAAAAATTGTGCACGCTATGTCAAAGGGACCGGAAGGATGTTGTCGAGTGGAAAAAGGCGACAACCACACGGACAAGGCGGATTTGAAAAATTTCCAAAATACATAACTTTGGTCGATGTCGTCAATATGTTTGTGAACATTCGATATACGGTATTCGAGAGATTCTGTATATTTTGAGTATTCAATGTATCACGTCAAAAAAAAAAGACATAGTCCATCCAACGTCAGCGCAATCATTCATTATTTAAAGACTCCACGTCATATCCGCTTTCCTCTTTCGTATTAGTTTTCATACTTTACAGACTACATTATTAAAACGAGAGTACTGGGTAAAATCTAGTCGCTCCTTCTATTATTATTTTTTCTTTAACTCGCACTACTCTTCATCTTTTTCCCATCTCCTTACCAGCCCTTTAATCTACGCTCGTCCGCGCCTAAGAAGCGCGACACTTCCTGCTTGCATTTCTCACGTGTCACGACACCCTTTCCCGGTGCTACGTATGCGCGGTAGCAATTTTTCTTTAAATAACAAAACCGGAAGAAAGTATCGCGCTGTCACTGGGCGAATAATTCTATAATAAAAAATACGGTTTTTTATTTCATTCTTATTAATCCTCATATTTTCCACCCCTTAATCGTCTTCGTGCCGACTTCGTAGCGCGAAGTCCTGTAACGTCTAACGGCTACTTTTATCATTTTTTTCCAATTTTTTTTTTCTCGAAATTTCTTCCCTTCCTTAATTTTCATTATTTATTCCTCACGCTCGTCTCTTCCTCCTCGTCCATATTCGCCAACCAAAGAAACGCACGACGGCTACGAAGTACTACGTACTCAATGGAAAAACCGTAAGAACTAAGTTTACACTAGAAAAAATTGTTTCGTACGGTCGTCACCTATGCGACCTTCTCATTAGTCATTAATTAGTCATTAATCGTCCTTAAATCCCTTCCGCGAGAGATGCTATCGAACTACAAAATAACCCTATACAATCCTAAAATTTATCGCTAAATATCTAAATATATGTTTATAATATTCTTAATTTATAATTTCTTTTTACTTTTTTTTTTAATCTTTCTGTCCCTCGTTATCAATATATAGTTATCGACAACCTCAACAATATCGTCGTTATCATCATTATCATTATCGCCGTCATCGCCATCGTCTTCATGGTAATCACGAATCGTCAATACTATCATGATTTCTCATAGTGGTTATCGTAGCGATCCAAGATCGATATATCGTTATCATGATCATCATAGTTGATTGATACTTATTCGTTATGTCATTAAGGACGCATATATCACCTTATAAATTCATAGATACTCAAATGGGCGTTTTTCACGATATATCATAATACAAGAAAATTTCTTTTTTTTTTTTTTTTTTCTTTCATTATCCATCTCCAATTTTGACTTTCTCTTTCAGCTTCGTTCTACCATTATATCTCGCGATACGCAGTATAGGAAAAATCGTGAATCGATCACGATCAATTTATTGGGAATCAATGGCATTACATACGGCTACTGTCGAACCCCTAAATTTTGAGACACATACCAATATTCTATTTACCCTCAGACAATTATCTTTTATCTTTTCGCTCTTTCACGAGAAATCGCTAAAAAGTATCTAAATAATAATTTCCCAAGTATCGTCAAAGAGAATTTTTCTTAACGGTGATTTATTATTGTTACTTTTATTTTTTTTTCTTCTTCCTTCCGTCTCTCTCTCTCTCTCTCTCTCTCTCTCTCTCTCTCTCTCTCTCTCTCTCTCTCTCTCTCTCTCTCTCTCTCTCTCTCTTTAAACCCGTAACGTAGTGCTACAAAATATTTGCAATCTAACATTATTATTATAGGTATAATAGGTTTCACTTCGAAAAGTATTGTATTCTTATTTCTTTCTCTAAATTAGGTTTTTCTTTTTTACGGTTTCCTTCCTACTCTCTCTTTTTTTTTTCTGTATCCGCATTCCTATTTATTCGTTTTTCATTATATTCCTTTACGTTCACTTCGTTAAGAGATCCTAGCTAAACCTACTGTCAAATATGGTATTACGGAAGATGCGTTATGATTGGACAATTCCCTAATATATATCAAATTCGATTCAATTACGAAATTAATTATGCGAAAAACAGCCGGCCATTTTGAAGATTGTCGGAGACGTTTGATTATCATGAAAATCTGTGTTCGTTCCAAAAACTCTTACCGAACACAAAAAAACTAATTTACATTTCAAAAATCGTCACTACTAATAACATCCAAAATTTTGTTTCCGTCAAAATTGCATTAAAAAAAAAACTCTCCTAACAATATCCAAAATGCCCTACGGTCAATCTATCGATCCTATCAATAATCCTCCTTATCATTTTCGCAAGTTTCTTCCACAATTTCAAAATCGTCCAATCACACACGTCATTATAAACTGGCGCGCTTCACATCGAGTCAAGGAACAATATTAAAAATTAAAAAAAAAATTAATTAAAAATCTACCATGAGCACAATACAATTATATAAATTTAAAAAAAAAAAGATTTCAAAAAGTCATCAATGAAACGCGCCAATCGGCGTGCGCACAGCGTACACGTGTATGAATGTCGATATATGTAATGTGTATATATATATATATATATACACGTCCGGGCATTCTCTTCGCCATCATTAAAAAAGTAACACACAATGTGGATAATAATTTTCATAAAATGCAGCGGCGTAGTAAACCGACCCACGTGGAGTGCTGTTGATAGTGGTGATGGTAGTGGTGGTGGTGGTGGTGGTGGCGTCGGCGGTGATAATGATGGTGGTTGGTTGTGGTGAAGAGGTCAGGTGTATATTTTTTTTCAGGGGTCAAGGGGGGTAATTGCCGATCAATTACAAGAATCGCGCGGTCTCCCAGGGGGTGGTTGGTGTATAATACGTCCTCGCGTTATTTATCAGTATATAGGCATTGGTGTTTCAGGGGTTTCGGGAAGGAAAACGGTAGTGGGGAAAAAATGAGGAGGTCATTACAGTAAGTACGAAAAGAGGGGAACGTGTGACTGAGGTGTCTGACGTCAGACGAAATTGTATTTTTTTTTTCTATTCGGGGCATCGTGCTCAACCATTTAAGGGATGGCCGTGGGGCACGTGCCTATTATTATAGATATACGCGCATACGCAAACGAGTACGCAGACGACACCTCAGTGTATACATAAAAATATATATATATATATATATATATATATATATATATAATTGTATGTATACATATATAAAGATATAGGTAGGTAAGACTGACAGAAAAAAGGGGTTAGAAGAGGACAGAGAGATATATAGACAGTTTTTTTTTTTGAAAGTGATTGCGGGTGGTGGTAGTTGGGTTCATTGGGTAGGGGGGAGGGGGGGTGGTTGGAAAAATAGTACATATATAAAGATATAGGTAGGTAAGACTGACAGAAAAAAGGGGTTAGAAGAGGACAGAGAGATATATAGACAGTTTTTTTTTTTGAAAGTGATTGCGGGTGGTGGTAGTTGGGTTCATTGGGTAGGGGGGAGGGGGGGTGGTTGGAAAAATAGAAAGATCGAATAGACAGTATTATATAGATACAAATAGTACGCGTTACGGAATATTATTATTATTATTTTTGTCGACGTACTTAATTACCTAAAAGAATTAGGCTAGTAATACGCGTGTACGTAGACGAGATTGTGGAGGGGATGATGATGGGGATGGGGGTTGTGTAAGGGGGTGCAAACGGAGGTGGTGATAGTCGTAGGGGAGGGGGACTGGTTGACAGATTGCATCGTGGAGACGGGCGAGACTTGGTTGGGGGGACCGGCCGGCACCTGGGGCACCTGGTATACGGGATTGGGCCCAGTCATCGGGCACTGGGCCCCGGCGCCATGTTGGGCCCCGTGTTGAAGGTAGTTTGGTGGTAGACATACCTCGAGACGATCGGTTCGTGGCATCTTCTGCGGCATGGCCACCGTCTGTGGGACCACTCCTAGGGGACTGCCAACTCCCGTTGGGTCCGCCGGACCCATGATCGCGGGCATTATGGGACTTGGCGCGAAGTACGGACTGTACGTGCTGCCCACCTGCGGCATCCCGGTCAGGTACGGATTGGTCGCCTGCGAAAAACACCCGGAAAACATCCAGGAAATATTGTTAGATCAACATCGTGCTCCAGGGGTAGTTTCTTTCAAATCCCTTAGAAAATTGACAAACCCAATTAGTGTACTTTTGCGTTCCATGTTCCATATATATGTATATATATTTTTCTTTGTTACTCAATCAATCCCCTCTGATAATTTTAAATTATTTGATCCAAGACAAACCCCCTTCACAGTTATCTAAAGAATCGCACACGTCTCTCGGTGTCTTTTCAATTTCAATGCAATTCACTTTGATTTGATTCAATTTTATTGGATGCATCTTTTTTTTTTCTTCCCTTGTTCACTTTCACTCGACTCGTTTCTTACTCTTTCTCTCTCTCACTCTTTTCCCCCTCTATCGCTCACCCGTGTGCAAGTTCTTGGACGAAGCAGTTTTTTTTTTGCGGCAGCGGGTTCCCGGAAGCGGATGTGGACAATTCGAAGCGCAACTCAACGAGCGGACCACACGCTCTTTATCCTTGGATTTTTCAAGCCTTTTTCTTTTACGTGAATATTTAAAGGAAACGCGGAATCCTCTTTATTTATTGTGCGATACGATTTTTGTGTCGTCTATAGAATTTATATCGACACCCAGAAAAAAAAGGAAACACGGGTACTTTGATTTAACGATTTATATTATTTTTATTCAAAGTCGAAGTGTCGTCGATTGAAATCTCAAGAGGAATCCGTAGCTCCTCGTCAAATACGACTCTCTGAGAAAAGCTCGCTACACACTACTGACATGCGCATAATCAATCACTCATAGTAAAAAAAAAACCAAACGTATATATTTATATATATAAAAATTGTAAAACTCGACTTTTTCATTTACGACAAAAAAAAAAACATAAAAAAAAAATAAGAATAAAGCATGCACTTATCGCACGAATCTACTTTGTGTGAATTCTCCTTTACTCGAGAGTGCTGAGCATTTCCGCAAGTACATATCATATAAAACACGTAACAGCTACGTACGTACATACAAGATTTCAAAAACGATAGCGAGATTTAAGGGAATATATAGCACGAGCTATATAGCTTGTATATTAATTAGAAAAATGTAAAGAAATTTTATCACGATTACATATTTTTATTGGTTTTTTGGAATTTTTTTTTCTTTTTTTTTTTTCTTTTCGAAACAAAAAATTAATCTCGTCATCGCCGTCGAACTTGTAAACTAAAAATTAGTGAAAGCCAACCAAAACCAGGAGTTACCATAAAGGCGTGGGTAGCGAGAAGTTGCTGCTGGATTTGCTGTTGAAGGTGCTGGTGTGGTGGCGGAGGTGGTGGAGCCTCCTGTTCACCAATGACGCGTAATTGGAGAACACACCAACAATCAACCACAACCACGAGCGCCACAGCGGCAAACATAGGGGACAGACAGGCAGTCATACGTGTAGTATAGGATCGATCTCACGTATCACGGACGATAATTAATCATGAATTAGAACTAAGTTTGGTATGGACACGTGTTAATGGCCAATGCATAAACATTGAATTTTTTTCTTCTGTAATATCTCTCTCTCTCTCTCTCTCTCTTTCTCTCTCAATCTCTCTTTCTCTCGTTCTCTCTCTCTTTCTCTCTTGATAACAATGCATTTCTAATTTTGTATCTGGAGTTCGATCACTCTACGGATGCAAATATACAACGTGTTTAAATATTGTGATAAGGAGCGCGAGCGCCTTCGACACGGGTTTATGAGATTAGATAAGATAAAGATAACGATTATTTATTAAGATGAAATTGTCTTTCGAATATACGTATGATGGTAGGTAATAGCATTGCTATATTGTTATCTCGTGTCTTTTGTTCTTGTTACGTGATTGTACAATGGTTTTTTTTTCTTTTTTTTTCTAAAAATTGCAAATTAAATATTTAATTGACATAATAATTGAGTCATAAGAGAATATGCTTTTTTTTTGTAATACAGGGAAATCTTGTATACGATACCGTAAGTGACTCTTCTGTCAAAATCATAATTAGCCGTAAGCGCTCGCGTTCTCTTGATACTAATTTCTTGATAGTTTTCTCACGATAGAATAAAACAGTAATAAATTAGACACTCAAGAAGAGCAGGAGCAACACTGACCACTAATATATTAATTTAAAAAAAAAAAAAAAAAAAAAAAAAA